AATCAACAAATGGCATGGGTTAAAATTTTGTGTTCCCTCCTGTTAATTTTTGTGTTCCCAGAACGGTCTCTCCTGTTGCTGCTTATTGAAACGTGATTATCTTACCTAAAAAGTAAATTTTATTACCTTTTTGGGAAAGATAATCAAAGCTTCCTAATGAATATTCATTATATTGAAAGGTGCTCTCTAAGTAGAACCACGGCCATTAAAAAAATGGAATTATATTTTCTTAAACGTCTTAAAAATTGGAGCAAATCATTATTATAAATAATCATTTTTGCTTTTACAATAAATTTTGAAAGAACTATTATAGTTATATAATGTTGGGATTTCCAACCATAAAGTATCTAAAAATGGTATGATGTCATTATCAAATTTTATTATACTATTACTTGGTAAAGATTTAATGACAATTTAAAGCACACACTGAAATATTTGATAATTCATTAGCATGGACATAAAGTTGATTTAATTTGGTGGAAAGGGAGCTTTGAATACATGATTGACAAAACGACCATCCTTTTTCAAAAAAGTGAACAAGGAAGTTGCAAATATAGATGAAGATGATAACGTTATTATGTCCTATCCCTGGCACTGAAAACCCATCATATTTAAATTTTTTTTATTAAACTTCAAAATAGATCACCTGATATTAAATATACACCATCTACAGTAAAGTAGGCCTACTTAAGCCTATTAATGAAAATGTTTTACATATTCACAAAAACAACTTACGAGTGCTCTACTTGCAAATCTAGTAACCCTTTATCTTATAAATACAAACCAGTCCATTCCTATCCTGCTCTCAACCAAACATTTTTTCGTTGTGTTTTTAATGCTATCACAGCCATAAACAAAAGGCAATTAAATATACCATGTGTTACTGCTGATTTAAAAATTTTTGCCGTGACTTTCTGTGTATTCCTTGTTGTTCAGCGGAAAGGAATGAATGGATAGATTCAAGGTTTGTTATCCATTAATGTTCCCGCAATCCAAAAAAGGAAGCAAAGTGGTCGCAAAGGCATTATCAAAACGTTGCAACCGGTATCCTTATTATCCATGCATCATTTATCTATTTAGTTATTTTCATGAATAAATTTCTAATAAATAATTCTGTCATTAAATCCAATACTTATCTTGCTCAACCTATCACATCAACAGCTGACAAATTACAAAAGTCATGTCACAACAAATATTAAAAGCAGAATCAACAAATGAATTCAACATAAATTGACTTGGATACCATTTTCAAAGAAAAATCTTGCAACGTCAGCAAACCACTTTTATAAAATTCTTTACAGTGGTTCAGGGTTTTCACTTCTATCATTCTTTTTTAATATCAAAGATCTTTCACTTTTTGACATTGCTTCTGCTAGATTTATTTATATATTGCAAAAAGCAAGAAATCTCTTGAGAACCTTGTCACTAGGAAACAAAGAAGTAGGGGGGAATATCTCCCTCTTTATTTAACATATCAAAAAATTCTCATACCACATTCATTCCAACAAAGAAACATAAACATACTAGAAATAGAACATTTACATATTATATACAAATTGATGGTGTGTGTGCTTCTGTCCACATACAAAGGCCAAAAAAAATCGGTGAAGGGGATGATGACGATGAGTATGAAAATTAGATTTATTTGTTGCTGTAGATCAATAAAGTAAGTGCAAAAGAATATAACGAGATGGCTGGGTTTAAGAAGGCAGGAGAAAAAAGAGAAGTCTGGATGAATAAAATAAATACATACAAGCCATTGTCAGAGGTAGTCATTTTTGTTTTTTTTTTTTTTTTTAAATTAATAATTAATTAAATGTTATATGTGCTATTACATTTCAGGTTTACCAACACCTCTGTTTCTTCAATTCGTGGTTTCCAAGTATAGTACCTCTCTGAAACACCTTTTATATGGATAATTTACTTGACTCTTATAAGGAAAAACGTTGGAAAAGGTTAAGATGATCAAACTATATTGGCAAACAAAAAGTGATGGATAAAATGTGTAGAAGGATTACCAATAATAGAGAAAACTGTTGAATAAATATTACCTATTTTTATGATACTAATTTATGTGATTTAGTAAGTCAATTTTATTTTTTCGTTTTATAATCACAGCCACGCTTCATTATCATCAAGTTCCTAAATGATATGCTTGCTGGTCCAGTAAAGTAGCTATGCGGGAGTTAAGGGGAAGATGTAAGTAAAAATTATCGATGAATTTAGTTAGGACTAGCAGAATATGTTCCAAGTGTGAAGGGTTATTTAATAAAATTCAACGGTTTTAGATGCTCAAGACATGTAGACACATATATGTGCCAGACCCTCTGGAATCGTGATGTTAAGGGACATATTTTTGTATATACATGACTTAGTTTTCAGGAGGTGGGGGGCTTAAATTGTGTACGTGATTGTGGCTGGAAAATCTAGCTGGCGCAGCAGCAATAAGGTTTTCTTCTCGTCACAGTCCGATTTAGCGTAACAAATTTGTTAGAATCAACTAAAAATCTCAATAATAATAAATTTTAAAAATCGCGCGTATTTTTAAAGTTCTTTGCAGTCGTTCTTTTTTTTCCTTTATTTAGAATCTTGATTACGCTTTTACCATAACATCTTGAAAGTAAAAAAAAATGTCTGAAAATACTCATTTATCGGGTGAAGAAATTGAAGATTTTAAAGAACAAGATCGTTTTCTTCCAATAGCAAATGTAGCACGTATAATGAAAAAAGCTTTACCAGACAATGCAAAGATTGCAAAAGAAGCCAAAGAATGTGTTCAAGAGTGTGTTTCAGAATTCATTTCCTTCATAACGAGTGAATATCCTTTTATTTATCAAAAAAGATATTTCAGGAATGAAAATTTATATATTCATGTGTGCGTATATACACATAAATCACATAGCTACGAATATTAGACTTACATTAATTTAGAAAATTTCTTTTTAAACAGCAAGTGATCGTTGTCAACAAGAAAAAAGAAAGACAATTAATGGAGAAGATATTTTGTGGGCTATGCAATCTCTAGGTTTCGAAAATTATGCAGAGGCTTTGAAGATTTATTTAGCAAAATATAGAGAAGTTAGTTTTAATATATATATATTATTATTATGATAGAACTATTGAGATTATATTTTATGCACTAATATATATACATATTATTTTGATTGATGAAGACAACAAAAATTGAAAGATCTTCAACTACAAAAGATAAAGATGAATCAACAGATGATTATGGTCAGAAACAACAATTTTTTAATGGTAATTTTACATATTTTATGATTCATTACAAAATTCAGAGAATAATAATTAATTTTCTTTCTTTAGTACCAGAAAATTTTATCCAAGATAATCATCAAAGTTAAACAATTTTAACCATATATAATATTAAAACTATATAAATATAAATTTTAGAATAAAAACTATTTTTTTTTACAGGAAAAATTTTTTAAAAGACTAAATAATGATAATGATAAAAGTAATGGTGATAATTATAAATTAGCACACTTATTCTTTCTTTAAACAGAATTACAACTTTGATTACTAGATCTAAGGTACAATAATAAATATTCCTCTTCTCTAAATTCCTTCCTTATCACTTTCACAATTGCTAAAAAAGCTTTTGTAATTGGTAACAATAAAAAATAAGTTAGAAATCAATATAATATTCCAGTAGAACTTTCTTTAATATTTTACCGTGAAAAATAACTTATTGATAAAAAACCAAAGAGAATCTTTTAAATTCTTATTGAATGATCCGCATATTTCTTCTGACAGATTCTCTCTCTCAACTTTTACATTGATATGAACTGTTAGTGCTATTTGTTTTTCCATACTTTCTGTGTTCTAGCTAAATCTATAATTGTCTCCACTCATTGTGAATATATATCATCAATATACTTGGTCCAAAGAAATTTTTTGTGTTGTTATATACCTGCTGCAATATAACGAAGTATAGAAAAAACTAGTTTCTGTCCTTGTCTTTTATTTTTATTCATTGCCTATATACTACTGTGGTCCAAAACCGCCCGTTCTTTGCAAATACTCTATTAAATGCATTGTCCTTTGATCGATAGTATGCTTCTTGTGATCTTGATATTAATCCACAAATACTTATATATAAAACGGTACAGTAATGTTTTTGAATTAAATGTTTTTTCTAACGAAGCTTTAAATTTTAATACGTTCTTACGATTTATAAATTTTGTATATAACAATGAAGAGAGAGAATGATTATTGTTGGATGGATGATGGATCTTTGATGGAGATTACTTTTGAATTTTTTTTGATCTATATTTAATTCACATTAATATAAATAGTCCGCTTCCTGAAACATATTATTATTGATTTCTTCCTCAAATGTAAAAAAGATTTAATTTCTGGGATGGGAACTCATAAACTGTGTAAAAAAGACTGTGCCCAAGGCAACGAGACGACTCTTTAAAAGACCAGCTTTTGGGCCGTTGATTAAACCAAACCAACACTTATGGTTTAAACCATATTTCCCCTTTCATCAGATGGATGGCATATGGAAGTGTTATAAACCTTTTTCATCTTCGGCTTTTGTCTTTTTCTAAAAATGAGTATGTAGCTTCTTTTTAAAAACTTTGTTTAGTAGCAGTTAATAAAAAGTAAACGGGTTCTTGATGCCTCTTCTGGTATTGAAGAAACAACGATGATTGAAAATTATAAATCAAAATATTGCTAAGATATTAAATTAAGTGAAATATATGAATTAAAAAAATATGACTGTTATCTCGCCGTAAATTTATCTTGACGAGTTCTACTCATGTATCCTTGAAATTAAGTTCTGTCGATACATGCTCTGGATCCATCAAAAATTCGCAAACGGCTATATAAACACCACCATATAGTTTTGCACCCAGAGTTAATCACAAGACACGATCAAAACAGTGGTTTTTAGAAACATCCAAATTAAACTGCAAGGCGAATATTGACCTGGTCACATATCATTTCCGCTAATATTTGCAACAAGAGCCTCACGACATTGGAGCTCATACCATACCCGAGGCGCCTTATTGTAGGCTGTCTACATAGGAGTTGTACTTGGTGTTTTTTTTTTTAAAAAATCACCATTATAATAGGATACTTGTTTGTTGTCCTGCTGAGAAGATCTCATCAACTCATATTGAGTTCTTAAAGATTAGATTGTTTTTATTCCTTCTGCAAAACGTAATTCTTAAACCTAAGATCTCTCTCTATCAACGATGTTAGCAAACCATGAGAAGCAGGAATAGACCAATACTTGATAAAAAAATCATGTAAAGCATTTTGAAATTTAACATAATTTAACATCTATTGTAGTCAGAAGCTTCAACTAGACACTTCATTGCCATTCGCTTCTGGATTAGTTTCATATACTAGATAAAAACTTTATTTAACTGTTTACCAACTTTCTTTTTTTTATCAGGATCTTTATATGACAATAAACAAGTACTCACTGCAGATCACAGACAGAAAATTTATTATCACAATTCATTTTTGCATATTAAGTAACATTTGTTTTTCATAATAATATTCAAGTTTCATAACTGTTACAAGCTTTAAAAACCAGGCTGATAACTTTTAACACGTGATATAAAATAAAATGCAAACCTCAAAAATGGATAGCATTGTAAAAATAGTTTTTTTTGATTTATTGTTTTCTCTTTAAAATAGCAGAATTAAGTTATCATTGTATCCAAATCTAGTGCAAGAAAATAAATAACAAATTATTATTATTTTATTCAAAAATTTTTTTTATTGTTGTTTCTTGTTATTATAATTAATAAATCATTTACTTGAAATAATTTCATTATTAATTAATGTCTCATTGGCTGTGGCATGATAGTAGCTTTGGTGATTTCAACTCTTTAAAAAAAAACAACAAAAGATTAATAATTTAATAAACATAATCTTAAAATTAATATTATCAAATATTAACTTTAATTGTTTGGAAAAATCATCTTCGATATCCTCATCATCCCAATTATCCTCCCATAAATGAGTTTCTTGATCTTCTTCTGTTTCATTCCAATCTATTAAATAAAAAATATGTTACTTAATTTACTAATTGTTAAGAATGTTGTATAAATGATATTTATTAACTACCTTCAGCATTGAATTCTTCAAATTCGTCATCTTCTAAAGCACCAAGTTGTGTTATTGACGATCCATTCTGTGTTTTCAACTGTTGTTCTTTTTTATTACTCTCGCCTTTATTATCATTATTATTATTTTGCTTACTTGAAGAAGAAGAGGAACCCTGATTTGAAGACATTAAGAAAAGATTTATTTATAATAATGATATGGAAAAATTAAGGAGGTATTTTTTTTAATTACAGTCACGTGATTATTGAAGTACAAGACCAACACTTGAGAATTCTGCGATGAGAATTGGATTGTTCTTATTGAAATATGGTATTATGAAAATCTACATATAGTCATTCCAAGTATTTTTTGAGAATTGATTAGATAAGTTGTCCTGTTTCTATTTGAATTTTTTTGTGTGATGTGGCGTGGATAAATAATGAATCACTGACAAAACTCGCTTTGTTTTACGTCAAACATCTACAGTCTAAGAATCGAATTCCAATCACATAAGGTGACTTTGACATAATTGTTGGAGTTATGGACCTTGCAGAGAAACAACTAGAAAAATCATTAATATATAACTTGAGGATCTATTACCCTCCCTCACACTAAATTAATTATCACAAACACGATCCCATGATCCTACCATAAAAATTATTTTATTTTCATAAAGTATCAACTAAATTACACAAATAGTATTCCTTAACACAAATATCTTCTCATCCATCACCAATTTTTATTACACATATATAATAGATTATCACAAGCTACAAAATAATATAATCATCACGTAACTTCTCAACCACCTATGTTTGTCTTTCTAATCGAAGACTTCAATACATATAATAAAAAATTATTGCTAAACGGAACTGCTACTTGTTTACTGAAATATTTATGAAGGTCTAACTGTATTTGCCGGCTAAGGAATTTTAAACGGCTTAGCAGGCAGAACATGCTTTGTTACATTATTAGCTCCGCTTCCCTTGAAGGTCAATACAATTTATATCGTTCGTTATGTACACTAGTTTTATCATAGTATCGGAAATGCTACATAAATCACGTCAGGGGTATAGGATACACCAAAAGATTTTTTGCGCATGTAAATCTACTGCTCACATCACATGATACTATCTATGTAATGAGGGATGGTTGACATCTACTTAAACAACTTCCTCCAAAAAAAGGATATGAATTGGGCGTATACAAATTTAGAAAATCATAAAACAAACAATTGACAAATCACGGGACGATGCGATTATTATGCTTAGCAGAACCTGCGAATAATTCAGCCAAAAATATAGGATTTATAATTTTGGAAGGATTAAAATCATTACCTACTTTAAAATTATACCACGTGCAAATAAATTATTATGCTCAGAACAAGCATTCTGCACAAATTTTTAGACACTGGTGGTGAGGAGTTTTGCCTATCTGTTAGGAAAAATCCATGGGATGGATTAATAATATTTATATCCCCCATTATTTACATCCCATCCTTGATTAAATCCCACTGATGGAGCTGTGACGGATTTCCCTGTATTGTTTTTGATATAAACTTTACCTCACTTATACCCAACTTTTTTAGTGGAAACTTGGTTGATTTTTTTTCTAATTAAAGAAATTATTCTGTTTTTTTTTTAGTAGCAACTTGGTTAATTTCTTTGACAATAAAAAACTAATTAGAATTATTCTTTTTTTAGTGGAACTTAATTTGATTATGTATAATGGATGAAAAAAAAAATAGATAAAATAAAACTCTTTGTTATTTGCTATTAAATTGTTGATATCTATTTGGCAAATTGACTGTATCATAAATTTATATTTTTAATATCAATCAGTAACTGTTTTTAGATTATTTAAAACTATTACATACAGATAAATACCTCATCTTCCACTCCCATCATTACCACTGTAACAACCGCTGTAACAACTGACAACTCCTTCCAACAACATATCATAAATATAATCTCCGAAAAAAAAAAGTCCATAAACTATGATATTGATCCATTACCAAAAAAATGTCACAAAAATAATGCAATTGAAACATTAATATTAATAATGGTAGACATTTAATAGAGTCTCCTACTTATTTCATATTGTTATTTTGGTGAAGAAGCTTTCTTGCAAAATATGAAGATTAGTAGGGGCATATAAGTTTGGGTTAGTGGAATGGTGGTGAAAATTATTAGTATAGATCTGCTGATTGGAGTGGCTCTACAACAAGAAGTAGACCATAGGAAAGAAGAACATGAATCAATTAAACACTCACCTTCACAATAATATTAATTAAAATAATACTATAATTCCAAATATAATATTAACAATAATGTTTAATAATAAAAATGATGCGGTATCACCTATATTTGTTCATAACAGATCAAGTGAATGGTTATAATTTTCTATCCTGTATTTATAGCTAATTTATTTCTTTTATTTATGATTAAATCATGTAAAAAATACATTATTTGCGTTTAATATCTAAATAACCAACAAACAAAGAAACAAAGATGTTACCATCACCATTGTTACAAAAAAAAACTTGTAAATGATTTTGATATTTTAATATCTATTTAATATGAAAGTAAGTGGTTTTGCTATTTCATTTATTTATTTATTAATATTTGTTTTTCATACAATTGAAAATTGAATCTTTTAGATCATTGTTGTTATTGCTTAGTTACATGATGGCAATTGTAAGATATTATTTATTATTTTGTAATAATATTATGCCAAAGGACTAATCATTCTAAAAAAAAATAATAAAATTTCCATTTTATTAAATAAAAAATTTTATTTTGATTTATTTTAATGAAAAAAAAAAATATCAATTTACCTGATTAAAGAAGGTCTTGGATTACTTCTTGTAAATCCTAATTGTTATTAAATTATTAGATGAATTATTAAACTAATTATAATATTAATATAGAATAATGATTAATTTACCAAGATAAAGTATGAATGGAATAAAGCTCCAATGAAAAATAGTTTTTGTAATATCAAGTATTTTGACAATTTTCTCCTAATTAAAAAAAAAAAAGAAAATTTAATGGATTTATTACATCTTCTTTCTTTCCGAGCATTCATAAAATGTATGCAAAATAAAACCTTGGTTTCTTCTCTCATTTTCAAAAAAAAATAAATTTTAAAATTTGGCCGTGTGGCGCAAAAATGTAAACATTTGTACTACCAAAAATTTTTTGGCCACCAAAAGTGAGAAAATCGAGATTTGTGTTCATCACATTCTCTCTCTATAGATTAGTAAAATCATCTCTTTTTTAAGTGGTATTTTTTGTGAAAAGTCCTGCCAAGTTTCTGCTCCAAATACTCAATTACCATCTCTTTATTTTCCATGTTCCTTTGCCACCATGAGTTCATCATCATGATTATACCAACAGTTCTTTTAATTAATCAATATTCACCATATGCCAAGCTTAAAATTTTATTTTTAATTTGGCCTTGACTTAGTTGTTCTGCTTTTATCTGGGTTAATTCAATTTGTTTTTCTTCAGCTGGCTGATATTTGGGCTTTTTCTATTCTAAAAATGTTGATTTCTTTTTAGTTATTTCAGGCTTCTTTCTTTAACTTTGTTTTGTAACTCTGAATAAACTGTTTACTGTTTTTTTTCTTCTCTTAGGAGGTTAATTGATTTTATACATGTGATAGAAATAGATTGATCACTTGACTCAACCAGGTTACATATATTTGTGGAAAACAAGGCAGTTTCAAACAGGAATTTAAATTTTAATTATAGTTATTAATGTTACCTCAAATTGTTATTGTATGGAGAAATAGTATAGACCTTTTGAGTGAGAAAGAATGGAAGAAATATCTTGAAAATTATGATGTGTTTGTAATGACTACACACCTATCTTAATTATTATTATTAAACCTTTAAGCCATTAGAAATTATCAGTACAAGTTAATCCTAGTAGCCATGCTATAGGAATGTTTCCTTTATAATTTATATGGCTAGCATCTAAAATATATTGTTTAATATCATTAAATTTATCAAATAATTCAAATGAGAGAAAGTGTGATCTGTGCCATATTCTGAAAAAAAATTACATAATTCACAGAATATTTCTGTTAATTGTCATAATAATGTTTTATCTTTTGATTCTGTATTAAATTGTAAAAAAATACCTGACAGAGAAGTAAAAACTGTATATCCAGGTATTAATGGTACCCAAACCTTTCCTTTGCAATCAAGATCAGTTGGAACTGATTGATGGCCTGGCAATAAAGTTAAATACCTTTCCTGTTCATTCACAAAAATTGTCCTTTCTGATTAACAATATTTTTTCTATTCAGAATTTCATCTAGAAGCTCTTGAATCCAATTAATTTCAACTATAGGTGCTGCCCAAATTAAAAATCAAGGAAATTTATTTACATAAGTTTATGGCAGGCCCCATAATATTATGCAAAAAATTATGCAATTATTACATTGAGTGTAAATATTACATAATTTTTTATTACAATGGGGAAAATTTCCTGATGTATTGATGTACAAAGTAGTTTGGGATTTGGGAATTCTTTGACAGGCTGGCCCAAATTTACTTTGTACATTTGGGATTTGGGCAGCATGTATAATTTCAACACATTCCTATTTTTAAAATAAGTACAACAAAATATGTCTTCATTTTCTCTTTGTATTCATATAAAAGCTATGTTTTTACTATGTCTTTTGCGTTGCAGGGAATTATGTGGACAAGCAACTCCAAAAAAAATTTTATTTTATAAAACTTTCCCAGAAGGGAAAATTTTTCACTCTAGTATGAAAAATTTATTTAATAAATCAAATGAATAAATTCTGATTAGTTAAAGACATTTAGTAGTCACAAGTTTGGTGCAATATTGTTCATTATATTATTCATTGGTTGTATGCACTTTAAAAAACTCAGTTATGCGCATTATGAATTATGCAATTTTGCCCATAGTAACTTCATAATCTTGTGTTCTTGTAGGTGTAGTTTCCATATCAATTATATTACTATTGTTAATAATATCACTTTTGTTATTATTTTCTACATCTTGCTTATTATTTTTTATAGTAGCGAATTTTGTAACTTTTGGTTTTTTGAATTGTAGTATCACCAACATCAGAGAGCAAAAATGGATTAGTATTATTATTATTTAAAAAAAAATTATCACTAAAATCTTCTTTTCTAAGAATGGTTGGCGTTTTATAAATATCATCATTATCCATCTTTCATGTATATTTTCAAAAAGAATAATAAAAAGGAATGAAAAAAACGCGTAATTGTTTCTAATTTGGTAAATGACACCCCCGTTTTTGTTAGTTACACGCATTAATATTATGCAAGGTATCATATTAATAATAACTAGCAATTGGCAATAGCAGGCGACTACCATTATCGTAGCACATATAAAAAGAATTTTTTTTATCGCTATTATTATTATTACTGTCTATTCACTATCTTCGTTGATTCTGGTATCTTTACTTTCGTTTTCATGGAAGCAACCTGCTCTATGTTTTTTATATATCTAGAAAAACATCATCATATTACTTTATTATCGACTGATATTTTTGTCTAGGGAATGTGTTTGTAATTTTGTATATAATAACACTATTATAATTGTACATATCAATTAAATTCTAATAATAAACAAAATAACAATACATTATGAAAGTTCAATGGAAAGTAATAAAGGGTTTTCCAACAAGTTCCTCCATGTTTCTGAAAATCTAGCAATGGTTGCTCCATCAATTACTCGATGATCAGCACTAAAACTTACCGTCAAAACATTTTTAGCAACCAATTTCTCATAAATGCCACCACTAGATCCATCTCTAATATTCTCATATCTAGGCAACTTTTGTATTTTACCAATTGCAACAATACATACTTCAGATGAAACTATGACAGGCGAAAGATATGTTCCTCCAATAATACCAATATTTGATAATGTTATTGTACCATTCTGAAAGTCTGTTGGACGGATTGAATTAGTTTTACCAGCTTCTTGTAACCTCTTCAATTCGTTGGCTATATCCAGTATAGATTTTCCTTGGACATTTTTAATATTTGGCACTAAAAGTCCTCCCGGGGTATCCATTGCAACACCTATATTATGTGAACTACGATATTTAAGTTTTACATTTGACATATTATCGTCTTCATAATCTATCAATGATGAATTAAGTATTGGAAACCTCCGCAATGCAGCCGAAAAGGTTTTGATAAATATTGGCATAAAAGATATTTTGTCAAAAGAATATTGATTCTTATTGTTACTAATATGTTCATTAATTGATTTACGAAAGTTTATAACATTGTCCATAATATATTCATCTGAATAACCAAAATGTGGTATCTTGAGCGATTTCGTCATGGTTTTAAACATTGATTTTTGAACATGTGAAAGCGGTATAATTTTATCTTCAGAAATTGGAGTAGTAATAATTGGCTGTGATGATGGTAGTGATTGTATTATATTATTGTCAATTATTTTATCATTGATATAATTAATTACATCCTCTTTTGTAACACGCCCATCTTTACCTGTGCCTTTGATATTTGAAATATCTATATTGTTTTCACGTGCAATTCGTCTTACTGCTGGTGTTGCCAGAGTTAAGTATTTGTTGGCATCACCTTTTACTAGACTTGGTGACTTTAATGATATTGATTCTATTGTGGTTAAAGTAACACTACTACTAATAACGTCACTAGATTTTAATGAAGTGTCATCCTTTAATTCTTCAGATTGATGCAATTCCTCTGGAACATCTTCCACCTCTATATCAACTATTGGATTACCAACTCTTGCCATATCTCCAACTTTATAATGTAAATTTTTAACCACACCCATGTAACGTGATGTTATCTCAACAGATGCCTTATCTGATTGCACTTCACATAATTTATCAAATTCAGAAATGTGATCACCAGGTTGAACAAACCTTTTTTTTTTTAAAAAAGACATCATTAGGTTTAATAAAAATTATAAACTTATAATTAACCAAAATCATTATAAATAGTTCTCATACCATTGTACTATTTCACATTCAGTAATACCTTCACCAATATCTGCCAATAAGTAAGGCATCAAAACATTATATGATTGCGATGTATGAAAGCCATGAACAAAATAATTTAAAGTAAAGGATCTTGTTTTTTTTACATCATTTTCAATAATTAAATTAGTTGCCATAATTGGTTTTGTATTAAAAAATTTTGATTCATACACCTATGTCATATTATATTATAAAAGTTAAAAACCATTGGTAAAAAAATACAATTTCTTAAACTGACTTACCATCAATGATGATTTTTTTTCATGAAACCTTAAAAATTGATATGAAATATTCTTGTAGAGTTTTGGAGGAACCTACTAAATTAATTATTATTTTTTAATAAAAAAAACCACTTGATATTTATTTATTATTTATCAATCTTCTTTTTTTCAACTTAACATATATTCCATATTAGTAAGTATAACAATAATATAACTCACCCTAAGATTGGTTCCTTTCAAAATTGACAAAGGAATCTTGTTGAAAATATGCATTTTGTTAAAAGTATACATAAAAAAAAAGAAAAAAATTGATGATCAATTCGAATTCGTGATCGTGATCGTGATCTCAAAAAAAAATTTTTTTCTTGAATAAATGATGTATTGTGAATGTATAAAAAAATGAGAAAAAACTTTTCAAATAACTTATTATTATTAAATTGTTACTCGCCGGCATCAATTTTTATAAAACAACAACAACCAAAAATAATAAACTCGATATTTAAATTTAAATATAATTTTTCAAGAAATTATTGCAATTTATTATTTAATAAAAGAGCACCAAATTTAATAGAAAGAAAATATCAAGTAAATGTGACTGGAGGTTTTTTCCACATAAATAAAAACAGTTTAAGGTTAATACACGGTTTGGGTATGTCAAAAGTAGGTGGAAAAAAACAATTAAATGGAAATAATGAAGACAAAATTTTTCTATCTAATCAATATATATGATTTGGTTAATGGATTTATTTTTTAATAAAATATTTTTATTTGATGTTTTTATTTTAATTAGTTGATAAAAATTTAAGTTTTGAACTTGGAGAAGAACTCAATTATCATGTAAAAGATTCATTATCAAATATCGAAAAAATATCTATAGATCACTTTATATGGGATGTAAATATCATTAAGACTTACTACTTTATCATAAATTTTAAAGAAATAATATTTAAGGAAGTTTTTTTTTTTTTAGTTACAAGATCATAGAGGACATAATGAAGTTGTATTAAGTCGCAAACCTGGTGATGACGAAAAGTAAGTTATTGATCAATTAATTGATGTTGTTGTTGGACCGATCCTCGATAACTTTTTTATTTTTTATTTTTTTTTCAATAGGATTCGGCTAGTTTTTAATATTTTATCTACGGATTCTTTAAATGATGATGATACATTTAATTCTATTAAAACAAATCAAAAAGAAAATACGATAGAGAGTAAGAATCAGGATGATGGAGAGGAGGATGATGATGATGATGATGATGAAGGAGAAGATGAAAAAGATGTAAATGTAAATAAAGGAGTAAAATATGGTTTAAATGAAGAACAAAGACAAAATATTGAGAAATTAAAAGGGGTTTGTTTTAAAATTTAAAATTTATTAATATATATAATATAAATGATGAACAAACAAGTAACAGATAGGGACATCTGAGCAAAATAATTCTTTGTGCTGAGTCTTACTTTGGAATAAAATTTCTCTGATATATTTATAAAGATTATCAATTATTGGCAAAAATTTCTTTAATTATTCAATAGTTTAAATAAAACGTTTAAATTTTTTCTAATTAATTATAAAAAAATATGTCAGAAGGAGGAAATATCTGAAGAAGATGATGATGATGATGATGAGGAGGAGGAAAAAAATAACAATTTAAAGCCCATAAGATGTGTTATAACCATTGAAAAGGTTTGTTATTAAAATTTTAATTTTTACTTTTTTTGTTAAGAAGAATAAATTAAAAAAATTATTAAAATATAATTATACTATGATAGAAAAATAAAAGCGTATTAGCATTTGAAACCATTGTACAACAAGACAAGTTTCTTCTTGAAGTCATTACATATTATGAAAACCATAAATCCAATCATGGAATAAAGTATATTAACCTAAATAAAGTAAGCCAATTCCTTATTATTTATTATTATTATTATTATTATTATTATTATTATTATTATTATTATTATTATTATTATTATTATTATTATGATTATTATTATTATTATTATTATTATTATCATTATTATTATTATTTTATTTTTATCTTTGGATAAATATGTCCCATTCATGCATTTTTCTATTATTATTTTTTTTTCAATAGGATTTAAGATTATCATTTAAAAAATATTTAAAAATATATGGCATAAATAAGAATTTAGCAATATTTATTACAAAATATTACAGATATAAAGAAGATCAAGAATACATCGAATGGTTGGAAAATTTAAAAGCTTTTGTCGATAATTAGCATTCATTCACTAATATATGTATATATATATATATGATGGACTGGTTGATCGGATAAAAATAAAACTTCTGATTGCACAAAATCTGTCTAAAATTTAGATTAATTTCATTTCCTACCAATTAATTTTCTAAATAATGAAATACTAGGGCTAACAATTTTCTCGGCAGCCCAAGGTGTCATCCACACACAAGCTGCTATACGTAATGGCATTATTGACTATTAAGAAAAACCCATAATTAAATTTCTACAATAATAAAATTTTCCAGAAAAATCTTTTTTGAAGAAAAAATATAAATGTATAAAAAACCTTGACAATAGCATAACTAGTGGCCAAATTCAATGCAACTTTACTACCATTTTCTAATGGTTCATATCCATAATATGTTACAACTCGATTAATAAACCTATTACCTTCATCTAATATTTGTTGTGGAAAAGGCACTTGTAAGCCTGTGGTATCTAACGCAATATACACAATAGGAATTGGAATCACAGCTGTTATTTCATGTAAAAATGCAAAAGTAAAAAGGTATGAAGCAGGTTTTGAACGAAATTGTTGTGCATATTTTCTCCAGCCTTTTACTGATGATGATGTTAGTGTTCGAGTCGAAGAAATAATATTGTTATTATTATTATAATAATAATTATTAAATAATTTATATTTATAAAAATATTTAGAAAATAATTTATCTTTATAATGATTATTATTAAAAAATGATTTTATCGATTTAAAAGAATTCATATTTTTTTAAACAAGATTTTTTAAAAATCCGTCGATCACGTATATATAAAAGGAACAAAAATTTTTTTTTTAAAAGAATCATTAGATCTAAATTTACTTATTCAAAAAAAAAAATAATAGTTTATAAATAATTTTAAATCAAGATGTCTACAGTTATAGATAAAATAAAAGAAAGTAATGACATATCTTTATTTTTCCAAGTTCCATTATTGTTATCAAATTTTTTAAAAATTTATCGTTTTTTTTTTAAAAAGAAAATGTTGCAAATTTTTTTCTATAGTTGAGACTGAAATGGCCCGTACACAAAAGAATAAAGCTACGTCTTATCACTTGGGTACATTAAAAGCAAAACTAGCAAAATTGCGTAGAGAACTTTTAACACCTACTGGTGGAGGTGGAGGAGGTGGAGGCGGTATGTTTCTAAAGATGTTATATTAGAGTGAGAATAAATTTCCTATATAAATATAAAATTTTATTATTAAGCAAAGTTTTATTATTAATCTTATTATCAAAGTTCACTACACTAATAACTGAAATGATATAATTTAGTCGGTTTCGATGTTGCTAAAACCGGTGTTGCCAGAGTTGGTTTTGTTGGTATTTAAAGTTTGATTTTTTTATATATACTATATATCTATATATGTTTATCTATAATTTTTCAATAAATGAAAAAAAAATCATGGATTAATTTAATAAATAATAATAATTTTAGGATTTCCTTCTGTGGGCAAATCAACTTTAATGTCGAAATTGACTGGTACATTTTCTGCCGTAGCAGCTTATGAATTTACAACATTAACCACAGTACCAGGTGTACTTCAATACAAGGGAGCAAAAGTTCAAATTCTAGATTTACCAGGAATAGTTGAAGGTGCAAAAGATGGTCGTGGTCGTGGTCGACAAGTAATTGCAGTGGCACGAACATGTTCATTGATCTTTCTTGTGCTTGATGTATTGAAACCTTTAACTGACAAAAAAATTATTGAAACCGAATTGGAAGGCTTTGGTATTAGGCTAAACAAGAAACCTCCTAATATATATTTTAAGAAAAAAGAGAAAGGAGGCATAAATATGACAAATACTGTTCCTTTAACTTATTTGGAATTGGATCAAGTTAAGGCTGTGTTAAGTGAATATAGAATTCATAATGCTGACATTACCTTCAAATGTGATGCCACTGTTGATGATTTAATAGATGTAATTGAAGGTCGCATCTATATCCCTGCTATATATGTTCTTAACAAGGTATTTCATATGTTTTTTCCCTAAAAAAAAAAAACTTGGATAATACAATATTTAGTATTTAAAAATTCTATTTTTGTAGATTGATCAAATTAGCATAGAGGAATTAGATTTAATTTATAGGATTCCACATGCTGTTCCAGTTTCTGCTCACCATGTAAAGTTATAACAATTTTTAATGGAATTTTTTTCTTTTAAATTTTTATATTAGATAATATTAATATCCAAATTTAAATTTAGGAATGGAACTTTGATGAATTGTTGGAAAAAATGTGGGAATACCTTGATTTAATTAGAATGTATGGATTATTATTATAATTAAATAACATTTTCATGCAACAACTTATATATTTATATTTATTCGTTTATTTATTCATTTATTGATATAGATATACAAAACCTAAAGGACAATTACCTGATTATTCAGCACCAGTTGTATTACGTCAAAATGCACGTTCAATTGAAGATTTTTGTAATAGTATTCATAAAGGAATTGTTAAACAGTTTAAATAGTAAGTATATAAAAATCAATTAAAGCTAAATGATTTAAAAATGATTTCTACGTCTAATTACTAATAAAAATTAATAATAACTACATTAGTGCTTTAGTATGGGGTAGTTCTGCAAAACATCAACCTCAAAAGGTTGGTTTAACTCATGTATTAAACGATGAAGATGTAGTTCAATTAGTGAAACAATAATATTCCCCACTTTTTAAATCATATCTTATTTATTTAATTTTAAGGAAAAAAATTGGTATTTTTGATATAGTAAATATTTTCATAAAATTTAATTTTCATATATATATTATATATTACAAAATTAAAAATCAAAATCAAAAACATAAAATCAAAACTATGCATCTCTTAATTTCATCATCTCAATTCTTTTAACACATTTTTATTACTCATCTTTGGGATGATACTAATTTACTCCATTAACAATCATCATGCCAATTTATCTTGGTAGCTCGATTTGATGGTCTTTTTACCTAATACTCTCATATTTACTTTTTAAATTTAGCATTTATTTGGCTATGCATTTATAGGTTGAGCAAGAATAACTCTATCGGGCAATCCCGATAAAAAATGTCTAATGTTTACCAGAATCAAGTTTGAAATGATGAAAATCTTTGTGATCATCATCCTGTTGGTAAATCTAAATTAAACGACTAATTTTTAATTTTTCACACCCCCGCTTTTGCTTATATAAAAGTGCACAAATATTATGTTTTAAACATATTATGAAATACAATTAATTTTAACTATTTTTAATCTAATACTGATGTTTTAAAGCAATAATGGTACGTAATAATAGTAGTACTAAAAAATGATTAAAAATCAAAATTGAAATAATAAAGAATAAAGACAGAATGGGTTCTTCATCGTCAGTTGACACGATTTGTATTCGAATAGAATGTAATAAACCATGTTTTGTCGAAACAAATGGAAGAAAGCATCCATTTTGTGGGAAAACGTGTGCAAAAATTTTTATCGATTCAAACTTGTCAAAGTGCTCTAATGCAAATTGTAATCGAAACAAATTTATTGATCCTTCTGACCAAAAAGTATATGACTATTGTGGAAAAACATGTGCAAGAAATACGATTCACGATAGCAGCAGCAACAATAACAGCAACAACAACAACAACAACAACAACAGGATTTGTTCTCGCGAAAATTGTTCAAAACGTGCCTACGTTGACCTGAAAGATTCGACAAAATACTATTCATACTGCTCTTCTAACTGTTACTGGTTGGAAACTACAACACTTACGCAGACAAAATTAACATTGTTGGCTCCAGACGATTTGGATTACGATGTGGCAAAAAGATCATTTCTTAACGGAATCCCAAGTGCAAAAATTCATGGGATTATTCGAATCCAAATGCCAAAAATTATCGTTGACGCACATCAAATTTTGAAAAAACAACCCGGTTTAAGATCGTATAAATTATTTCATGGCACTAAAACTACTTGTGATCCAATGAATATTACAAGATGTTTGAGAACTATTTGTAATACTAGCGTTAATAACAATTGTGGTGTATGTGGTATAATTACCAAAGGTAATGATACAACCTGCTCTAGATATGGTGGAACTATGTGGTTCGCACAATCTTCAAACACATCTTTGTGTTATTGTTCCGTTGATAAGGGAAATAAAGCGATGTTTCTTCTTGACGTTTTGTCGAATAATTCACCAGATCCTGGATATTTGACCGTTAATCAGAATGCGGTAAATTTATTTATAAATTTATTTTTTTTTTTTTTTAATTTCGTGTAATTAATTTTTATTATTTTAGGCCACTCTCCCACGTTATCTGTTTATTTTTTCAACGCATTAGAAAAAAATATTCTTTTTTTATCGTTTATAAATAAGTATTCATACAAATTTATTTTGCTATATATTTGATTTGTTACATAAATTTTTTTTGTAATATACATAAATAATATATAAAATATACAAAGTTATTTTGCTAAAAGTTAATAAGTTCATTTATAGTTTATAAATTTCTAAAATAATATATATAAATATACAAAGCCATTCGGCTAAAATGTTAATAAGATTCATTATGACATATTTCTTAACCATCAAGCAATTCTCCAAAATCTTGATTGTTATCTTTTTTTTCCTTGTCAGTAACATCCCCTAAAAATTTTTCTTTTTCTTGAAGATTATTATTCTTTTGGCCATTACTACTTGAACTATTTAAATTACCACTAGTACCATTTGAATTAATCAAAGGTCCTTTACAATTATCATTTTTATCACTTGAATTTTGGTGTTGTTGATTTGAATCTTTGCTCTGATTATTATTATCGTTATTATTGTTTTGATTTTTTTGTTCATCTAGAATTTTGGTTTTCTTGTCCTGTGGGACATGTGAAGAGGAGGAGGAGTTATCGTTTTGATTTTGACTATGATTTTTACTTTGATTTTCTTTTTGTCGATTAGTTGAACTATGATTTTCAATTACATTTTTCAATATATTATTTATAACATTATTACTATTATTATTTTTTGAAGGTATTTTTTCCTCCTCTTCTTCCGAACTTTCTTGAGAACTTATAACAGACTGAGGGCAAATCTTTGCATAAGCGAGAATTTCACTTTTACCACCTTTATTATTATTGTTGACAACCTTAAGATTCGTTCCAATTAAAGGAAAGAAACAAACATTCACAACATAATCATCCGAGGAATCATCATCCCATGCACCTTTCATAAATTCTGGCATGATCTTATCATTATGTTTAAACCAGTACAATTCATATTTTTGTTCATGGGTCAATAAACGAAATGTGAAAATTCTAACAATTTCTTTAATAAGATTCTCTGCCATATTTTCTGTGTAATTTTTCTTGTTTGCATCATTTATTTGACGATATTCAGCCATTAATGCGTTGAGTTTTTGTACTGTAGATGATATGAATGGATGTTTTGATGAATGAGGTTGTTTATCATTATCACTATCACTATCACTATCACTACTAATACTACTATTATCATTTTCATCCCTAATTTCAGAGAATGCATATTCACCTAATAAACCATAAATTTGTCCACGAATTTTTGTTGTAGTAGTAAATTTGTTATTCCTTTTTTTATTATCTTTAATTAAATGATTATCATGAAATTCATCAAGAAGATTTAATAATTTATCTGTATGATTCATGATTTGTTTTTCTTGATTGCAAGGATGATTATTACTAACGTTATTAAGATATTCATCCACATATTCGAGCACTTTTTCCAACACATAACGTTGTAAAACAGATTTCATCAAAATTTTATCTTTAATTGTATGTTTTTTAATTTTTAAATTGTATCTTTTAAATAATTCTATAATTTTCTCATTATTAATCACCACAGCACCTTTTAAAGTGGTAACATATTTCTCAATCTTTTCATGTAAAGTAATTAAATCATTGGTAAGTTGAACTGAACTATTCCTACTATCTTCATTTCTCATATTGTAATCTGCTGATTGATATGATGAAGCCTCTTTTCTTAACTTTTCATTTTTATCTTCTAATTCACTATATGATTTTTTCAATTCTCTAATTATATTAATTTTGTTTTGATTATCTGTTTCAAGCTCGCTGATCTTTTTTTCTGCGTGAGTTATAGATTGTTGTAATTTATTATTTTCTGCATTAGACACACTATGAGCATTTAATAAATCTTTTTTAATATTATCATTAGTTTCTTTAAGTTTTGGAACAACTTTTTGCTGATATTCAATTAATTCGTTACGATAAAGCTCTCTTTCTTGTCGTAATTTTTTAACTTCTTCCTTATATTTTGGTTCAATTTCCCGTTGGTAACTGATAAGTTTATTACGATAATGTTCTGCTTCTTGATTTAATTTATCACTATTTTCTTTTAACTTATTGATAATTTCTACTAATTTGTTAACATGTTCATTATGTTTTGCTTCAATTGCTTGTTTACATTTAACAAACTCACTCTTATAATTATCATTTTCTTCAGCCAACTTTTCATTTTCTGCTTCAATAATTTTATTTTTTTCAATAATTTCTAATAATTGCTTTACCAGTTCAGCATCCATATTTTTTATTTCTATGGAGGAAGAACGTTGTTGAATAAAATCACTAAATATGGAAGATGATCCCAAGAAATATGCAATAGTGCTGATCCATTCATTTTTATTTTAACTAGAATGGCTAGAATGGCTACATTATATCGAAAAAACTTTTATTAAAGTGATTTCTAGGTTTAAATTTTTAAGATGAACTTGTTTACAAATTAAAATTGGTACACTAAAAATTAAGACACGTCCAATTTATTTTGTAAAAAAATTACTCGCTTTTTAATTGAACATCTACTATATTTAAATAAACCCGACATTTATTTTTTTATAAATAATTAAATTTCTTGATTTCTAATTCATGTTTACCATTATAAATAATTCAAAGTTGAATTGATGTTTTATTAAAAAAAAAAATTTGTTGTTTTACAAATGACATCACCCCAAATGCCAGTTGGAGAACAAATAACGAAAAAAATTTTTTTTTGATTATTTTGATTATAAAAAACATAAGATTGATAAACCCGTCTTTAGAATTACACCTTCCCTTTGCACCTTACTTTACAATTATCTGCATAATGTCCTTCATTTGAATACTTGTCTAGGTGGTGTGGATTTATATTCAAGTATTTGGAAACTAAACGACCATAGTATCCGCAACGAAAATATTAACGCGCATGTATAGATGTCTTATATGGGCTATTTTCATCACTTAAAGGTATATCAGAACAGGAAAACTTGGCCTTGCATTATTATTGTTATATGATGATGATGGTTTGTTATTAATACACACACAAGATAATTCCAATTCTGAATTTTCATGTGCAACAGTTAGTCCAGAGGATGATGGCGAAAATCCAATTGGTTTGCATAACAGACAGTTCAGAAGGTGGTGTGATGATTCAAATTGGTTTGCATAGCTGCTTGGTGGTTTGTGCAATAATACCACATCTGCCAAATTAAAATAATGAGAAATGATGCAACAATAATTGTGTACTCTGCACTACTGCATAAAAGTATATACACTTATAATCATTTGTAATGGTATCTTAGATGGTGCAATATGTGGAACTAATTTAACAGTAATAGCATCACAAACTCTGCCATATTGGAGTCAATAAGTTTTTTACTTTGTTCATAAAATGTGTCTCGGTCTCTGAATAAGCAACTTCAACCACCCTAAAATCACATTAAAAATTCACTACCAAAAAGTAAATAAGTTCAAGAATTTTGTATACCTTCTCATCATACCCATCCTCTAGAGATTTATTAACTACCCACATACATTTTTCGACCTTTTGTTGCCTCTAGTCAAATATAGTCAATAATCATATTTGGGATATTGATAGGAAATTAAATCCTATATCGAAATTGACTAGCATTATGTCAAAATTCTAATAATTCTGGTAACACTTTCGCATAATGCTGGTCAATTTTGACCCCGACGTAAGATTTAATTTCCTGATGCTATTAACATTGTAAGAAGTCTCACGAGTTCCTGAGGGAAGTTCATATACATAAATTCCCATACCTCACATTGCATAAATGTTGGGGACAGGTGTACTGAAAGAACTGATAAGCACAACTAACATATAAGAATCCAGTTAACAGCGAAAGCAGTCGTTCAAGCAAACAAAGGACTTACAAAACTTCTTTTCTATTTTGCTTCTGGGTGTATATTTTCTTGATCCCATCATAGCCGTCAGAAATTGAGTATAGTTAGCAACAGTCTTTAGAATAGTAGAAGTACTTCCATATCTAAGAAAAATTCTAGAGTTAGCCAAAAATGAGAAAAGTCGTACATACATCTATTCACCTTTGGGTTCCTTCGTTAATAGAGCTTGCTGTTTATGTTATCATTATTGCGCCTTTCAAAGATTTTAAAGCGAAATGAGCAATCACACACCTTCTGAAGTTGTTGAGGTTCCTCTATTACTATACTTAGAAACCGAAATCGAAACATTCTACAAGGTTTGCATGTTCATAATTACGAGATTGAAATATGATAAGGATAAACTCAAAGTAATATTAAAGAAATAATAATAATGGTTATGCCACAGGATGATAACGTAAAAATTTGATCATTATTTTTGATGATAACATTTTCATAGTAATAGGTTAATTATGTTAATTATGTTAATTAAATTATCCGTTATTCCTATAATTAAAAGAATATACTGAAAAAAATGTTTAATATTATTATATACAGTGAACCCTCTATAAGTGCACCCCTCTCGGGAACATAGTGCTATTTCTTGTGAGCGTGCATTATGGAGGGTGTGCATTTATGGAGGGTATACATAGTGCGTGCATTTAGGGAGGGTGCACTTAGGGAGGGTTCACTGTAGTAAGTAGTTTTTCGTTACACTAGTTTTCAAAAAAATTTTCTAAAATGATTTTTTGTATGTGTTGTGTCTCCAGGAATGCCTTTTATTGAATTTATGTCTAATAAATCAAATATATGAATTAACGATGTAATTCCAACATTATTAACTGTGTACCGTTGGTTTAGATTTAATATCCAAGATTTGGCATCAGTGGTTGACCACAAGCATCATTTGGTTGTGCGAATACTTTTATTTGTTCATTACTTAATCAAGTGAAACAAAAAAATTACTTTATTAAACTGAACCTGCAAAAATTCATAAAATTTTAAAGATGTGTTTCATGATGTGTCATAATACATTTTTTTGGATTTCTATTTTCTAAAAAATCCTCTCTACCAAGTCCTAACTCGGAAAGAGATACTCGTATACATCATTAATCCATGAATTTCATTGGTTAATTTTATTTATAGATAGATCTGATAATGGTATTGTTTTACAAATTTAAATTTATATTGTTCTTTGCTTATATAAATAATGGAGTATTGTGAATATTCAACTTTAATTAAAAATTTTTTCATTTCTCCCTTTAACACCAATTGGTTTGTTGATAATCTTTACATACATCCATTACACTTTTTCTTCTTATCATTAATGTTGACATTATTGATTTTCGCGAGTTATTTTGTTTTGGATGTTATATTGATGACCTATTATTTCAAAAATGAAGAAAATATTAATAAAATAATTCTTCTAAAAAATATCATGATTTTATTAATAATTTGTATAAATTTTATTGTAAATATAATAGAATTGGTTTACTTGATTTATATCCTTGAGGTAAGAAATAAATAATCACATAAATTTATGATGAAAATTTTTTGATTGATTGCTTTAATAATAATTTTTAATTTTTCCATCAAGACAATCTTTTTATTAATCACAAGTAAAACATCAAAAACTTTAAAACGGTTCAATCAAATTCCATCAAATCCACCACCACTTTCATACATTTTGATTTACCATTTCACAACATTTTTTCTAAATTCAAAAATAAATATTAACACGATCACCACAGCATCATCATCATCATCAAAATCGTCATCTTTTCATCTTTACGATCGCGATAATATTTTATTGTTATTTGTAATAATAATTTATTATGTTTTAAAATTTGGCTTATTTATTGATTATTCTCAATTTTCTACGAAAAAAATGAGTAGAAAAAAATCACTAAACGAAATTTTGTATAATGAAGAAGAACTAAAACATGTATTAAATGATTTAATGATTTTAAAAGAAAATAATTTTTTTCTTCTTACAAGATGAACACAATTTAAAATTATTATTAGTTTAAAATTATTATTAGGCTTATTAAATTAGGTTTGTCTGTTGTACGGACGTTTTGATACATAAAAATTAAAATTAAAATAATATATACTTTCAAGGGATAAATAATAAATAAATGATCCAATGATAAACAAATATTTTTAATTTAGTTAGGGTTCATTTCCGATTTTCAATTATTGGAAATTTATAATGACAAATAAATATAACGTTTTACACAATACATATTTAATATGATTACATTACATAATATAATAAATCATTTTCTTTCTCCTCTCTTTTCTTTCGCTATTTCCAAAAAAAATAAAGAAAAAAATGTCAAAATCAACACCAGAAACAAACTCATTTGAAGATGAAAATAACTCATTATCAGGCACGATCGATACAGAATGGATGAAGAATCGACCAGCCTATGAAAATTCTGGCTATTACTTGCCTTTAATCAGCGAAGAAGAGGTACGTACAGTATACTGTACATACAAATTTACTAAATGATTGATGTTCAACATGTCAGCTGGCTGTATATTTACTAAAAATAATTTGCTCGCTTACTCGTTATCCTTTGCGTATTCTGATGGTGAGATAGGGTGATGATTCATTAACAGCAGTAAGAAGAGAATTCTTAACATATAAATATTCGAACATTTATTTATTTATGTTTTTATTTAATAAATTGTTTGTTTTCAGCATTATGCATTTAAATATATATTCGAAGGGAATTATATTTCTCCAATAAATAAAAATAGTATGAAGGTTTGTTGTATTCGATCAACCTATAAATATTTATTATTATTTGATGTTTACTTTGTTATCGTAAAATAAATTTTTATTTATTTATTTGGTTTTAATTTTTTAGAAATGTCTCGAATTGGGGTAAAAAGTTTTTTTGGTTTTCATTGATCTTTCTTTATTTGTATATAAATAAAAGAAATATGTTATACATTATATATATATAGATATTTTAATGGTGTTTGGATGATGGAAATGGCTTCGTAAGTATATTATAATATTAACATTATATGTTACATTATATAAGTTATTTATAATCATTGATTGTCACCTTGGGAAAAAATTTTGAAGAGAATTTCCGAATTGTGAATTCTACGGCATTGATATTCAACCAATCACACCGGAGTCGACATATCCAAAAAATTGTAATTTTTTAAAAGGCGATTTTTTAAGTGAGTAATAAAATACAAATAATAATATTTTTTATATGCCTCATATCTCACCCATTCAACTTTCCTTTTCTCTCTCTTTCGCATAAATTAACAACATGTGTTAGAGGAAATTCCGTTTGAAGAAGAAACGTTTGACTTGGTTTACATTCGATCCACAATACGTTTCGTTAATTCCAATAGTTGGAAAGGATTATTTAAAGAAATAAACAAAGTTCTAAAGAAAGGTGGATGGATGGAAATAGTAGATTCAGATATAAATACAAGGTAACAAAATCTTTCTTTTTTAAAAAATATACATATTTAAAGATTAGTATTTTTTTAATATTTTTTTTTGATATTTTGTTGTAGTCGTTCGGGTCCAAAATGGAATGCTATCGGTGAAGCCTGGAATGAAGTTCAATTAGCCAATAATATCAATCCAGATGCATTTAAACACCTTGATAAAACAATCAAAGATTGTGGATTTGCTGTATCAAATGTTAAAAAATTTTCGACACCTATTGGAAGTTGGGGCGGAATGGTAATTTGGTTGATTATTGAGTTTGACTGTTTATTAATTCGATTATTTATTTATTTGTACAAAAAAAATTCTTTAATAGTTGGGAGAATTTGTGATCAATACATGTAAACGCTGGTTTACGTTGGTGAGTGATATATTGATGGAGAAACTTAAACTTGAAACTCGAGAAGAATACGACAAATTTATCGAAAGCGTGGAAACAGAAGTTAACGAATACCAAACTCATTGTGATTTAATAGTATTTTGGTCGCAAAAAAGTTTCTAACCAATCATCAACCAATTCCAAACAATCAAAATCGTTTATTTATTTATTTATTTATTTATTTATTTATTTATTTATGATAAATTATAAAAAGTGTATAAGTTATTTATTTAACTATTAAATTTAAGGGTTTAATTTGTATACCCTTGTTCATTGATTTTGACATCTGCATGATGAGGGTAGGATTTCTATCCATAATACATTTTCTCATTCGATGATTCGTAACCACGTCAACTTAATTCGAATGATTCCTTTGTTTCAAATCATTCGCTTTAAATATTCCAGTTGGTGAATTTACAACTTGAATTATTAGTGACCAGATTTGATTCTGAATTATTTTCGAAATTATCATCGTAACCATCATATTCATCTAAATCATTAACTTCTGAGCAATTACATATGCCCTTCTCTTACATTAACATAATTATTAGAAGCCATGCTTAAAACATGCAACTAGATACGACAAATTCTATGCTGTTATTATTGTTATCATTAAATTGTTCTTTAACGATGGTTCTTCAGACCAAATAGAATATAGTGATCATCTATCAATTCCAACTATTTGTAAAAAGATCTATTCCTCTCATAATTTTCTATTAACAAAATATAATAATATAATTATATCTATCATCTATATACTACTACTTCTATTATTATTACTACTACTAGTGATGATAAAGCTTCACGAAAAAAAATATCTAGTATCTCAAGAGATTCATTTGATCCAATTGACTCGATTGATTTGTTTGATCAGATCATTAATTCGTGATAAAATTGAATTATAGTAGTTACAGTCTAAGCTCTCTATACCGAAACTCACTGTAACGAACACTAAGTAAAGTCTCTCTATAACGAACAAAAGCAGAAAAATTACATATAGGGACGGAGTTCGGTATAGAGAGCTTAGACTGTATGCAATCCTGTTATTTTCACAATTGGAATTTATTTTATGACGGTTTGGATGAAAATTGAAAAGTGAGGGTAAAAAAAGAAAAAACCCATTAAAAATAATTATAGTTAGTTAGAATACTTTATTAAATAAAGTTCTCTATCTCAATGCATGTTTAAACCTGTTTCAACATTTACATTATCATCTTCTTCTTCCGATTGATTCTCTTTCATTTGTTAAAGCATTTAGACTTTTCAACAAATGAATCAATGTTTTTGAAAATCCATTTCTTGTAATCTTCACAGTATTTGCATATATTTTTTTCTAATATATCATAACAATTTATATGATATCCATTCCTTTATCAAAAGATCTGTCACTATTCAAATTTTTTTTTTGCCAACAAACTATTTTACATTTATAATATGACGTGCATAAATTGGAGCATAAATTGGAGCATAAATGGTCAGATAGGACATTAATACATCCTTTAGTTGAGTAAAGCAAAATATATGATGAGGTGAGGATTGCAAATTTTATATATATACAGCTATTCATTATTTTCAGATGATGTACTTTATGTTTCTATTTTCCTACGGAATTTAGGAGCTTCTTCTCAATTAAAAATGACCCTAGGTTGAGTGAAGTAAATGTATGGCAAGGTTGGGTGACGAAATGTCTCCTTCTCTCACACGACGAAAATAAATGTGACGAAATAGGATTTCTAAACTTTGAGTAATTTGACGAAAGTGACGAAAGTGATGAAATTAACAAAACAATAGAATAAACCAATTATTTTGTAGATTTAAATTATAGAGTAAAAAAATTTCATGATGTCAAATTCTAATTCACCCAATTCACCAATTCCTTCTCAATCATCATCATATAATATGAATTTTGCAAACATAATATATTGAAAGTTCATTTAACAATAATCAAGAATTAGCTACAGGGCATCCTTTATCTGATGTATGGTTATACTTCATTAAAATAGTAAAGGAAGAAGCATTTCAACAATCAGAATTAGTCTACAGATTTTGAAGAAAGTTATGAAACCAGCAATAGATGTGAAACAGCAATTCCTACTAAAAAATTGCGTACAAAAATTAAGTATCCAACTAAGAAACATGATTTACGATGTAAAAAAAATGCTTATAATTAAATTTTACCCTTTGTCACTTTCGTTACTTTCGTCACATTTCGTCACATTTCGTCACATGTGCCCCATTTGACGAAAATACTTTTTACATTTCAAAATATTTTCGTCATCCAACCTTGATGTATGCCAAGGGTTGCAAGTAGGGATGTTAAATGGTTCGGTCCGGTCCGGTACATATCAGTCTTATTTAAAGACGGACCAAACTGTCAATTTCAAATACAGTTTGAAAAAGACCAATGGCTCAGTCCAGACTGCAGCCTTTATCAATTCAAATATCAAAATTTTTTTACTGAAAATTTTTTAAAAATGAAAAAAGACTGTATAAATCTAGTGTAACATTTTCATTATGCCAAGACTTGACTAAGACGGACCAATTTAAACTTCAGTCCCTATTTGAAAAAGACTGTTTTAGGACCGATAACATATCAATATAGTGTAACATTTTTATTATAGAAATGCCAAAACTGGACCAAGACGGACCGGTTTAAACTTCAGTCTCTATTTGAAAAAGACTGTTTTCAGATGATAAAGACTGCAAGACTACCAGTTGGTCTTTTATGAGAAAAGAGGATCAGTCCACCAGTCTTTTAGGACTGTTTAACATCCCTAGTTGCAAGTCTCACATAAAATGAAAGCGTAAACTCGAAGATCACAAGATCGCTTATTTAAGAAGCTACCATAAAAAATGAAAGGAAAATCAGAAAAGAATTTGTGATGAAAATTGAAATATTTAAATAAATTATTTACTGTTTTGAGTACAAAGTTATATGTCTAAATAAAGACTGATTGGAACAATATTCACCATATTTTTACGCCATTTTTTTACTTATTAAAATTGTATAAATATGATATTTACTCACAGTATTTACTCACAGTATTTTTTTTACGTTTCGAAAGTATGTATTTTATTTCTATATTAATATCTTAAATCCTATAAATTATGTTAAACTTATTTGGTCGTTATGTTTCTTTCAGTTTCAATTCAAATGGGTCTCAAGTATCTTGTATTTTCTTTGTTTTTCTCGATTTTTGTTTCCGTCGTTTCTTCCGCGTGTGTTAGTACTACTTGCAAATGCCCTACAGGGCTTTCACAAGGTCAATACTGTGGTGGTCAAATTGGTGAGTAATGGAAATTTGAATCATCTTTACATACTGTAATTCGTTTTTGTTGCTATTATTTTACTTTTTTTGGTTTCTTTTCAGGATGTAAGCGTACCTACGTTTATGAATGTAGTCCTACTGGTGAAACTTGTGAATATGGCTATCGAATCTCCTGTGATAATTGTGGGGCTTTGACTTGCCCAACATCAACACCAAAACCACAACCGCCACCAGAACCACAACCCATCTAATTGTGCACCTTCGGGCGCGCCATGCACCCTTCCTGATCCAGGTGCATGTTGCAGCAAGACTTGTTTAGGTCAAAGTCCTAATAAAGATGATAATCGCGGTACTTGTGAATAAAATCTTTTATGTAATATATATATTTAAATAAATATAATCTTGTCTGTACGAAGGTACTAGACTGATAATTAAATGAGTACAGTACACACTCTCTATAACGGTTCTTCTGTTTTGGCAAAAAAAAGACCGTTACAGGAAATTTGCAAATCATAATCATGCAATCAATTCATAATGTGATGCGTTCAGATTGATAATCTTAAATAATGCGATCATAATTTATTCGTAACTAATTGATATTACTATTACTATTACTATTACTATTTAATGCTAACCGAAAAAGTTTTGTTTACGTGCTTAACTTGTTTTTTATTTTTTACTATATAAAATAAGTAATTTAATTTGTGGTATACTGCAACAAAACCAGAAAAAGCGAGCATTAAATACTTCTCCAAAGAAAAATTTTATTTTGAGTGATTTTATAAGGCAAATAAATAATAGGAAACTCTTCACATTATTAATCTCTAATGAACTTGCTATTAGGTTTATTAAAATATTTATTTTTAATTCTGACAATTTTAGGTCAGAAAAATAAATTTTTTGTAAATTGATTTGCTAAATTAAATTGATGGGAAAAAAATTTAAAAACGCTATGAAATATATAATTTAAAATTCCAGTCAAGATAATGATTTAGCCAATTAATTGTTATTGAGCAAGTTGTCCAAATTTATTATATTTAAACCATAAGAAAAGAACGTGGTTTTGATGACAGTTTTTTATTGAGAGCTATTGACAGAAAATACAATCAATCAGATTAAACAAAAATAAGATTATATAATAATGACACATATGGATTTTCAATTCAAATACTTACAGCTCATTTTAAAATTGTTTCATAAAAATAAATAAACCCTTCCATTTCTGAAAAATCTATTGGAACTGCAGCATTGTTTTCTTTTATATAATTATGGCCTATTAACAATGTAAGATTAAATCTTTGCTCACAATCAACAATTGTGTGATTAAATCAAAAGAGGTTCTAATGAAACTTGATAATTTCAACAAGAGTTACCTACATACATATGTATGTTAAGTTTTAAGCTGGCACAATGATTTTCTGCATAGCGCAGAACGCCGCAGTAATCATGGGATATGTGGAAAATACTATAATGTACCGCAGAATACCACAGATAATATAAAAATGGGAATTTAATGATAATAAAAAAATTAATTTTTATGATGAATAATAGAAGGAGAGGTACAAGAACAACGATTACAATCAATACTAGAGTAAAAGAAAATCCTGGTGAATTTCGCATTGACAATGGAATTTTATTTTGTAATTTTTGTGACCATTCTGTTGATTGGATACGAAAGTCAACGGTTGATGACCACCTTAATAGTAAAACACATAAAGCTAAGAAAAATCTGTATGAAAATAAACAACGTCAACTTCAACAAACACTTGTTACCTCTCTTGCTTCTTCTGAGTCTAAAAAAATTATAATTCACGATTTAATTGAAGCCTTTGCTATAGCAGATATCCCTTTAGAAAAGTTGATTCGTTACTTAATTTTTTTTAGAAAACATTGTAAAGAAGGTGGCGCTATTCCACAAGCAGCAACGTTACGTCAACTGTATAAACCGCAGAATTACTGCAGAATGCATAAATATTATAACGGAAATTATGCAGAATATAGTGTTTTTTAATGCATGCGGAATTTGTTTTTAGCACGGACGGAATTAGTGTTTCATCACCGCAGAAAATCATTGTCCCTGAGCTGGCAGCCCAAAAACCTCATCTTCCTGGTATCATCACTTTCCTTTTTTCTGCTCGGTCCTTAACTACATCAATAGACATTTTTTTAGGTCTTTGGTTATTTTAGTCCTATCTCCAACTTCCTTTTGTTCTTTAACATTGTAAAGACGCGACCCTTCTACATATATAATCTGATATTTATTTTATTATAATGTTTTGTGATAGACCGACTGAAAAGTGTTCATAAAAATGGCCTTCCCAGAACATAATTATATAAATGTCCAAACAAGGTAGTAATATAAAAAAGGTTCTGTATTCAATATCTTAATCATTTTTCTAACGATCATCCATACAGAGTGAATAAGATAAAGGCTTCATATAAAATTATATGAGTAGGATATTGCCTTTATTAAAAAAAAATATACTTGACTTTATGTTTTAATTTGTAATCCATGAAAAATTTGCTGATCACTAATATGTTTTTGTGGTGATAATAAACATTATATGTAGGTTGGATGAAAATGACACCATCCAAGAAACAAAAATAAACATAGGCAACTTATATGTATGAATATTACCTACTAAGGAATATATAGTCCTGCATGTGTCCTATCTATCATTGATGGCAACATGTGCGTGTTGAACAAAAAGTTTTAGAATTTTTTTTTTTTTTAATGTTTAGGTAATAAATAATGTTATATTTATGTTATAGTTATTATATGTATTCTTATATTGTTTAAAGACCCAGATTCAATGGACTTCATGTGATTTTTGTAGGAGATTGGCCCAATTGCCACCAGTATCAGTTTTGCAAGTTTACAAATGGAAATTGTACTGTATTTCTCAAAGGCAAGATGATGATAATTTTGCAAGATATATGTTATGCAATATAATATCATGGAAGTTGTTGGTAAATTTGATAATAAGAATATTAATATGAAATTAACTGACAAGAAAAATTTATTTAAAAATAAAACAAATTTACCTTCTATTGTTAGATTACAACAGGGAGTTCATATCATGTATTCAATAATAAATTAATCAACAAAGGAATCATCAATAGAAAAATAGGTGATGTCATTGACCTAAATATTAGTCAGGATACTGTTGGGGCTGCTTTTTCATTCATTATGGTGTGGTTGACATTGTTGTGATTAAATTTCAAGTCATTATAAAAAAATAATTAATCTATAATACACTTATGTGTTAAACCTCACTACAATTGTATAAAAGGTGCATAGAATGTTATCCTGATGAGATGGATGGATGAAATTTTGTCAATATTATTCTTACAACTAGAATATTTTAATTAATAAAAACCCCATTTTTTTTAACCTGATCTTTTACAATAATTTGATTCAGATGTCTTGCAGTTCAATCACTTGTTGTTTGATAAAATTTAAAGCTTCAAAGTTTTTAATGAAATTTTATTTTTAAAAAGAAAAAATTTTTATTGAAATAATTATATGTAATTACTATAATACCCAAAACTCACATCAGTTTTTAAAACAGTTATAGGCTAAATACAGTGGTTTAAATGAAAACAATTTAACAAATAAATAATCTTGTATGATCTAACTAAATAAATCTTCAGTTAACCAGTTAAATAAACTGTTAACTGAAAATTTTTGCAATTAAAAAATTTTTAGGTGGTTGGTTCCAATTTTTATAATTGGCCTGAACTATGTGGAGCTCAAAATAGAGACAAAATATATCATGTAATAATACCTGATCACATTTTTAAAAAAAAATTTAATAATGTAAAGTTACTTTCTTGTAATGGTAATAAAAAGGATAAAAAAAACTAATGTGAAAATTCCAATAATTTAATTCGTGATCCACCAGTTAAGGAAAGGATTTAATTAATGCCAATCCGGGCAAATTTAAATTTCATAGTAATAATAATAGTAATTGATTTTTCGCCCCCATAGAAAGTCATGCATTTGTTATGTTACATAAAAAAAATTTTATATCAACCTATGTAAATCAAAAGTAAAAAACTATATTTACTTACAAATATATGGGCTATTAAATTTGTCAGTTTTCTGTTATTTAAGGAG